AATTTGAAGACTCGTTCATCAATTCAGTGTCTTTATTGAAATTTTGTTTGTGTTTCGTTTCACTCTTCCATTTACTCGTTGGCACGTTACACTTACAGAGGGAGTAGGGGGACAACTGACCCCAGTACTTTCTTTACCCCTCAAGGTCTAAGCCCCCCCCCCACGCCACATTTTTTTCTTTACTGAATTACACAAATGTAGGTCCGGTTATAGCTTAAATGTCCCTTGACACACAAAAAACTCCTAAAGGTATCATATTACGAATCTGTTAGATTCCTATTCCTACTACTATCATTATCATCATATTCATTATCATTATTCATTATCATTGTTCTTATCATCATTTTCCTTCTAGGAAAGTACAGTGCAGTAAAGCAGTTATACGTCAGTTTATCTACATCTATCATTTACACGACAATCCGAGGGGGAAAATTAAGAAGGGAAGTAGGAGGGGAAGAGGAGATCAAGGAGAGAAGAAAGGGGGAAGGGCCTTAAAGAGGATAAAGTGGAAGGGATAGGAGGGGAACTTCAAGAGAAAGGGAGATGGGGAAGGGGAAATGTAGGGGAAACGGAGTGGACTTCAAAAGGGAAAAAGGGTGGATACGGAGGAAGGAGGACGCTCAGAGAAAAGGAGGATGGGAGAGGGAGGGAAGAAGTGAACTGAAAGAAGATTTGGGATGGAGAGGGGATGGCAGAACGGGAAAAGGAAAAATAGAAGAGAAGGAGATGGAGATGGAAACGGAAAGGAAAAGGAAAAGAGGAGGCGGGGGCAAAAGGAGGAGTGCGAAAGTGGGAGAGGAAGTGAGAAGTACCTCTTTTTTTGTTTTCTTTTTTGTTGTTGTTCCGTGGAATGTCCACTTGTCTCACTTAAGCTGATGACCATCGTCTCTTAACTGGAGAAAATAGGCATTAGATTCATTAGCGTACCTAATAGGCAATTATTTCGCTCTATCCCCCCCTTTTCCTCCCTCTCTCTCTCTTTCTCTCTCTCTCTCTGTCTCTCTCTCTCTGTCTGTTCTGTCTCTCTCTCTCTCTCTCTCTCTCTCTTTCTTCTCTCCTCTCTCTCTCTCTCTGTCTTCTCTCATCTCTCTCTCTCTCTCTTGCTCTCTCTCTCTTCTCTCTCTCTCTCATCTCTCTCTCTCTCTCTCTCTCTCTCTCTCTCTCTCTCTCTCTCTCTCTCTCTCTCTCTCTCTCTCTCTCTCTCTCTCTCTCTCTCTCTCTCTCTTTCTCTCTCTCTCTCTCTTTGACGCTGATATCCATAAGAATAGTTGTAATCATTATCATTACTGATATTATCATTATGATTGGTATTATTATTACTAATAGTAGTGGTAGTAGTAGTAGAATATCGTTATTAGTAGTTGTTGTAGTATCATTATCATTTTTATCTTTATCATTATTATCATTTCATTATCCTCACCAATATCATTATCACTGTTATTATTATCCTTATTACTATTGATATTTTTCTTTTATTGTAAATATCATTATCATCATCATTAATCGTTATCATTATCATCGCTATAATCATTATTATTCATATTAGTAGTAGTAATGCTATCATTATTACTATTGTTGTTGTCAATATCATTATTAGTATATTTTTCACTGAATATGTATTGTTAGTTATGTATTGTTATTATTTTATTATTATCATCACCATCATTAATATTTTACTACTACACAAATTATCATATTATTATTGTTATCATTATTATTACTATCATTATTATTATTACTACTACTATTATTATTATCATCCTAATTATCATTATTATTATTATTACTATTACTGTATATGTATTATCATTATTATTATCGATTTTATTATTATCCAGTTATCAATTATTATCATTATCATTATTCATTATCATAATATTATCAGTTGATTGTCATTATTATTATAGTTATCACTGACATTATGTTATTATTATAATTGTTAGCATTATCAGCATTAGTAGTAGCGGTAGCCATAATAACAGTAGCAGTAGGAATATGATTATTATTTTACTTTTAATTACTATGATGAAAATTGATTGTTATCTGTTATTATCCTCTTTTATTGTTGTTATCACTATCCGTTGTACCATTAGCATCGTTGCCATTTTATTATCACTTTTGTTATTATCCTTGTTATTTCCATTATCATTATTATTGTTATTATCTTTATAATTGTTATTGTTATTATTATTATTATTATCGTTACTTATGATTCTCATAATTGTTGTTATTGTTATCATTATTATTATTATCATCATTACTATTGTTGTTATTTTTATTACTAGTTCCATTAGTTAGGTTTTCGTGAATTAGTAAAACTTGTCATTATCAATATAATCATAATTATCATCAGTTGATGATGCATCATTGTTACTTTTGTTATTGTTATGATGATGGTGATGATGAATCATTGTCATTATCATTATATTAATAATGATGACAATAATCTTTATCATCGTTATTGATATTATAACTATAATTGTTATCATCATTATTATAATGATATTATTATCATTGTTTTTGTAGTTGTTGCTCTTGCTGTATTTATCAGTATCATCCCTACTATTATTATCATTATAATTATTATTGTTGTTACTGTCATTATTTCATCGACCTCATTACCATAATGAATTAATTATTTCCATCATAACAGATAGAAATCACAATAACGTTTGGGTTCGTAGTCCCTCTTGGCGCGAACGACAAACATAAACAAACTTTCGAGAACGTCTTGGGTCCACATTTAAGATCTCGGCCGAATTAAGCTTTACGATGCCTCCAATACGTGTTAAATACGTCATTTCATTCACCTCACAGGTAGGAGCCTCAGTCGGATACTTTAGAATTATGATAAGGATAAACCTTATCATAATTTCCGTGAAAAGTTAGTTCATATCCAAGGTTCTGTAAACTACAGAACAGAACCAAGCGAACATAGAGAAAATACTATGCTAGTGTCATTAAAGAACACATTGAACAATACTCTTAGTTTTCTAACTAATTTGCAGTAAGCAAAAATGAGGCCACAATCGCTAACCACAGCACGAATCTGCTCGTGCTGCTAAATTCTGTCGTGCTGCACTGTGAACTCGGTACCACGCTCTTCGGTCGAAAGCTTGTTTCATACCTCCCATATGGTAAACTTTAAACTTGCCTGAACAGCATGATAAAAGTTTAAGACACTTTTGATCAATGGCATTTAA